CTCTAGCCCGGGCAAAAGAGTGAGACTTTGTCTCAAAAAAAAAAAAAAAGAAACCAAACGTGCCCCAGAGCCTACTTGCAACAGCCTTGGGAAGCTTTGAAAAGCCACCTTCCCTTAGGTGGCAACATAACCCTATAGAGGCTTCCTGGTCTCAGTTTTCCTCTCATCTGGGCCAGCCCGCACTCCTGGACTGGGCCCTGGAATGAGGCAATGTGAGGAGTGAGGTGTGTCCTGGGCAAACTGCAGCCAGGTGCAGGCAGGAGGGGAGGGAGCATGTGACTCTGCTGGATACGCTAGAGAATCGGGCAGAGGATATAATTGGGTAATTCATAGAAGATGACATAAAATGGATGATAGACTAATTTAAAATATTCAAATTTGCCATGGATCAGGGAAATACGCAGTTAAATGAGATACTGTTTTTCCCCTATGAAAAAGGTTGACCAAAATATTTAAAGTTTGATACTATCCAGATACTGGCCAGAGTATGGGAAGAGGGCGCTTGTGCCCTGTGGTGGAAACATAAGTGAGATGGGCTGTGTGGGGGGCTATTTAGCAGTTCACGTACATGTGCTCTTCAACCCAACTCTTTCATTTCTAGGAGTCTACAAGCACATAAGGGTCTATTGATGGGGATGTTTTCAGAACTTTGATAAAGCTAAAAAGCCTTACCTAAATTCCCCAAATCAGGAAAATGTTTAAATAATCAATGGTACGTTCTCATTACAGAACACTTTGGGCCGTTAAAAGGAATGAGGGTAGATTACCTGGGAACAGCAGTGTATCGTTGAGTAGGAGGAAAAAGGAAATTTCAGGAAAAAATATGCATTTTTGAATCCTATTTTTATAGATCCCATATTTTCATTAAAATATAAGTTAACATATGTGTAGGGACACTACATGCATAAAAAATGTGTGGAAGGATAATTATAACTAACATTTATCAAGCTCTTTCTTTGTACCTGGTGCTATTCCAAACGCTGTACGTTATCTCATTTAACCCTCTCAACAACCTGTGAAGGGGGTAGTATTATCCCCATTTTACAGATGAGAAAACTGAGTCACAGCCTAAGTAGCTTGCCCAAGGATGCAACATGATTAAGTAGGAGCATTATAACCACTATTAGACTATGTTTAACAGTGCTTACTTCAAGGAATGAAGACAGGGTGTTGAATTTTACATTTTACTTCAATCTTCTCCACTTCGGAGGAGTTATAATAAGCAAGTAACACAACAAACTGGTGTTCCTCTGCATCAAGAGGGAATGGCGTAAGTTCTGGGCCATGGCACATTTGTCCATCTTTTGGTTGAAAAAGACAAAGTCCCTAGGTACGACCCAGGTGGGTGAGGGTAAGACCAGAGAATCAGATCGTTCTACAAGTTGAGGTGAGAGGGATTTGGGGCTGGAGTAGACAGCGTGGGAAGGGGAGCTGAGAAGGCCAGGAACAGAGAGAAGAGAGAGAAGTGGGGAGAAAAAGAGGAAGGAAGGTAGAGGCTGAGGACAAAAGACAGCCAGTGAGATGGCAGAATGGCGGGGGCCTTCTGGAGACAGTGACTGCCTGTTAATACACTCAGGAGAGGGCCTCGCACGCACTTGTGACCCGTATCGGAGGTGGCGGTGATGGTCGTGGTAGTGGCCGTGGTCATGATCAGCAGCAGTTTTTAAGTGATTTGTACTTTTGGCAGTTCTAAAACACCTGCAAACCCCCCACCAAAAGAAAAAAAAAACTTTAGTAAAAATCTGCTTTACATCAGAGCTTTTTGTTAATTTGGGAGAAAATGAAGTAAAAGTTTACATCCACCAAGAGGTGATATAGGGAGAGGAAGGAGAACATTCCAGTAATAAAGACAGCAAGTCATAGGCAGGAATTTGGTGCATGAAATGATCAGAGGAATGGAAGCTTCTGGAAATCTTGAAGAGAGAACATGGAATTCATTCTCAAACCATCATATTCAGATATAAGTTAATGTGTATTCAGATGGATCAGGGAGGGGGGCGTTGTAACAATAGTTGATAATATTCAGTGCTCTGGTTTGCAACAATTGCCAATTTCTGTAGTGTAAACACTCCTACCCTGGCTGATTTCAAGCTGCCAACACGCTGCTCCTGAAGGCAGAGTTAGGAAGAGATGTGCGTGATTGGCTCTGAAGGGCTGGTACAGCCAACTCCGCACACCTCCCTACTACGGGCCAGTACTAAATGTTGTACCCAGATTTCTCATTTAACTCTTCCGACACCCCCAGGAGTGTTGTTATCTGCATTGTACAGGTAAGGAAATGAAGGCCAAAAAAATAAGTAGTGAGTTCAAGCCTCTCAACTCTTAAAGTGGTAGAGCTGAGATTCAAACTCAGATTTTCCCGACTTCAGGAGCCCACATGTCTAACTACTAAGTAGACTCCATTACAGCCCAAAAACCGCATGGTCCTTGGAAGATCTTATTTTCTCATATTCTAAAATTCTGGGACCTAGCAATGATTCTGACCCCTTCTTGAGCTCTGCAATCAAGGCTTGGTGAAGGATGTTGTTCTTTCTTCATGTGGAGTGAGTCAAAAGCGCCATAACTCAGAAATTCCAGACAGTCGGAAGGAAAGAGCCTAGGGTTTCTGACATGTACACTAGGTCTCAGAGCCCACTGGTAGGAAAAGGCAACATGTTAAGCAAATAAATCCTGGCCTCCACCCTAGAAATTGATCATTCCCTTGTTAATGGCTATTCCAGACTCAAAATCCTTGCAACCATGTTGGTTTGTGCTCACTGCTGGAAGTTCTAGATGCTTCTTCTGTGTGTTCAGAGAGAGCACTGTTGTCAGGGTGGTCTGTTGGACTGGTTTTGCCAATGTGGCTAGA